CCCTTTTGGGGTAGGGGCGTGTTTGTTTTGATGATTTCAAATGTCAACATCGGCTACCAGAAATCGCTTACCCCACCTTTAATACCACAATTTGCTTTAGGTGGGAAACTGAGTACCTATTAGGGGTGCACCGATACCACTTTTTTCCAATATAATTCTGATACCTGAATTGTTGAAACTTGCTAAATACACACTACTTCATTATGAATAAGCAGAAAACACACACACACACACACAAAAATACATATTCTATGCTACTGTTCAAAAGTTTGGAATTATTTATTTTATTTTATTTTATTAAGCATTAATCTTATAATTAATCATATTCAGCAAGAATGCATTAAATTGGCCGTAAAGACTTTTACATTGTTACATTAACCATATTCAAATAAATGCAAATACATATTCTATGCTACTGTTCAAAAGTTTGGAATTATTTATTTTATTTTATTTTATTAAGCATTAATCTTCAGCAAGAATGCATTAAATTGGCCGTAAAAAGACTTTTACATTGTTACATTAACCATATTCAAATAAATGCCATTTCCTTTTTCTTCTTCCAAATAATAAATAAATAATGCAATAGTAGACATGTGCCGGTATTTGGTAATGCGATATATCACGGTAATGATTATGCACGGTATTGTTATCGTGGGCACTTCAAAATACCGTGAATAATTATTTATTACAAATTAAGATTTTTTTTTAAGCATTTTAAGAATATTTTCTCCATTAATTGGTCACAATGCACAACACTGCTGTATGCTGCGTGAAAGACGCATGCGCACTCTCATGTAAACAATCACAGATGAGAAGTGCATGGCGGAACACGTGAGAGACACTAGGTGCATCCCAAATCGAGTACTTATGCACTATTCTGTGACGTTTTGTAGTATAAATAGTGTGTATTTTCACACTGAAAATTCCAAAAATAAAAAGTGCACTTTAAATACCCGGATGATGCACTTAAATAACTGAAAAAAATAAGTGTGGAATGTTGGACACTTCATGCACTCAACTGTTGCAGCTTTAAATACGTACCAAAGGGGGAGGGGCTATCAGATTCCAATTATGAATGACAAAATAACCTTATATAATTCATACTATACATGGTTGAGTACATAGTGCATAAGTACATAGTGTATGAATGCATAGTGTATAGTGCGTAATTTGGGACGCAGCTAATCTGAATGAAAGCGCACATTCAATCTCTGACAGCAGATGGCTAAACAGCAAAAATGCAGCCGTTACCCCGGAAAACCCATAAACAAAGCAGCTGCACTACTTTCTAAAAACGTATTTAAATGGTTTAAACAGCCATTCAGATTTTTGTATTCGCAGTGGTGTTCATCACAGCACCAAATACTTAAATATTTAGATTTAATAGGCTATTTATTTTCAAACTTTTTTTTACATTTTAATCTGGACTACAACATGCCCTAGATATTGTTTGAAAATGTTTTGATTCTGTATTGTTTGCTCACACTTTAGGCTACATTAAGGCTCTATTAATTAACATTAGTTAATTCATTAGTTAACATAAACTTCCAATGAAAAATTCTTCTAAATGTTCATTAATCGGGTAATTTCAATATTTAATAACATGTTGTTAAAATCAAAAGGTGCAACTGTGTCATTTAATGAACTAACAGTTGTATTTTTTTAACAAAGATTAATAACTTCAGTAGCAAATGTAGCTATTGCTCATTATTAATTGTTAATGCATTAACTAAGGTTAACTAATGAGATCATATTGTAAAGTGTTACTTATTGGTCATAATTAATAGGGTTGGATGTTGACAACTACATCAGTAAATCATACACCTCACAGTATCATAATTTCACCATGAGCTGGTTACACCTCATAAAAATAGCTCTGTCAGTGCTGGAAAAACATCCATCTCAGATTTTTCACTTGTTTGGACAATCTGCTTTTTCATTAATGAACTGCAAGATATTTAAATACTTAAATAAACATGTCAACAGAATATTGTAAGGAAAAAATGCTGTGACTATGCTGATATGTAATTGTATACTGGTATATAATTGTTCTCTGAATTTATTTATAGCGTACTGATTGATTACTGCTGTGATGCAGAGCCTAAACAGAAGTGATTAATCACTGTATTATTTAGAGTAGACCTTCCTATGATGATGAATTGGGATTTTCCGGCGGGGGGCGGAGTAAATGTCCAAGACTCAACAGAGCATCCTGAAGCAACTGCACTTAGAATGACCTGCTGTCAAAACCGCAGCCAGATTACAAGTCAACCAGGACATATACAGCGCTATCTAACCTACAGGCTTGTTTTTAAAGCTTAGAACTGAAAACAAAAAATTAAAAGCTTCTGGAGAAAATCCTTGTTCCATCTCAGTGTTGTGTAAGAGACCCGAGGACAAAAAATGTCTTATAACAGGCAGCAGTTGCTGTGAATCAAACTGATAATGCGCAATCTTTTAGCTATTATTTGGCTTCAGAATAGTTGACGTATAGTGTCATGTAGACTGCAATTGTGGAGCTTTTGTGATGCTTTTTAAAATCTTTTGTTAGTGTCCTTCCTACTGTATTTTCATTGTAAGGGAAAATGAGGAATAATATTATTCCTAACATCTCCTTTTGTGTTCTACAGCGGAAAGACAGACATACAGGTTTGGAATGACATGAGGGTAAGTAAATTATTACTTTTTCTTCTTTTTTTCTGAACTAACACTTTTAAGACGTATGGGAAATAGGAAAAACTAGTCAAATGCAAGGAGACTTTAAAGATTTACTCATTCCATCATACCATGAAAGAGGTTTTAAGCTTAGAAAGTGCCTGTTTGTTTTATCATGTGCACTGTGATTGGATTACAGCAACATTTTTTGTAGAAAATGAGAATAGTGCAGTGTGCAGTGATCTATGTAAAGCTCATGCAAGTCAGTCTGCAACATGATATACATCATATACTCTGACATGATTAGCCACAATATTCAAATCACCTGCCTAATATTGTGTAGTCCCCCTCATGCTGCCAAATCTGATGTCGAGGCATGGACTCCACAAAACATCTGAACGTGTGCTGTGTTGCCTGGCATTAAGACATTAGCAACAGAGCCTTTATGTCCTGGAAGTTGTGAGGTGGGACCTCCATGGATCAGAGTTGTTGGTACAGCACACTTCATAGATGTTCAATCAGATGGAGAAGTCAGGAATTTGGAGGCCAATGCAACACCTCAAACAATTCCTGAACAATTTTTTCAGTGTAGCAGATTGCATTATTTTGATTAAAGAGGCTACTGCCATCAGGGAACAGCATTGCCACGTGGTTTGCAACAATCTAGGTAGGTGGTACATGTGAAAGTACTGTAACATCCACATGAATGCCAGGACCCAAGGTTTCCCAGCAGAACATTGCCCAGAGATGGCCAGCTTCATTAATTCATTCCGCAATTCATTCATTCAGCAATTTGAGTTCCAGTTATCTCTTCTTGTGTGATTTGGACCAGACAGGCAAGCCTTTGCATCCCACATGCATCAGTGAGCCTTGGGTGCGCATGACCCTGATGCTGGTTCACAGGTTGTCCATCCTTAGACCGTTTTTGGTAGGTACTAACCATTGGTATACTGTACTAGGAACAGCCCACAAAACTTGCCATTTTGGAGATGCTCTGACCCAGTTGTCTAGCCATCACTTTTGGTCCTTGTTAGAATCACTCAAATCTTTTCACTTTCCTATTTTTTATTCTTTTTGCTTCCAATGCATGTGATTTGAAAACTGACTGTTTACTTGTTCCCTGATGTATCCCATCCCTTGACCGATGCCATTGTAATGATATAATCAATGTTATTCATTTCACCCGGCAGTGATTTTAATGTTGTGGCTGATCAGTGTAAACTAAATGTGCAACCTTAAGTTAATAAAATTAATGAGA